TTAATAGCAGTAACTGTGAAAGGGTTTTTCGAGTCTTTGTGGACAACCAGCTAAATATGAGCCAGCAGTGTGCAGCTGCCGCCCCAAAAGCTAATGCAATCCTAAGTTGTATTAACAGAGGGATACAGTCGAGATCAAGGGAAGTACTAATACCACTCTATAAAGCCTTAGTAAGACCACACCTAGAGTACTGCATCCAGTTTTGGTCACCACATTATAAAAAAGATGTTGAGACTCTAGAAAAAGTACAGAGAAGAGCAACCAGGATGATTAGGGAAATGGAGGCTAAAACATACAAGGAACAGTTGAAGGAAGTGGGCTTGGCTAGTCTAGTAAAGAGAAGGACCAGGGGAGACATGATAGCGGTCTTCCAATATTTGAGGGGCTGCCACAGGGAGGAAGGGGTCAAGCTATTTTCTAAAGCTCCTGTAGGCCAGACAAGGAATAATGGATGGAAACTGAACAAGGAGAGATTTAACCTGGAAATAAAGAGAAACTTTCTGACAGTGAGAACAATCAACCAATGGAATAGCTTGCCCTCAGAAGTTGTGGGAGCGCCATCAGTTGAGACTTTCAAGAAGAGAGTGGACTGCCATTTGTCAGAAATGGTGTAGGGTCTCCCGCTTGGGCAAGGGGTTGAACTAGATGACCTACAAGGTCCCTTCCAACTCTGATTATCTGTATCTGTATAAGAACATGCCAATTACCAAGCATCCAAATTTTAATCATGTGACCACAGGGATGCTGAAATGGTTGTGTGAAAAATGACCATAAACCACTTTTTTCAGTCCTGTTGTAACTTCACTAAATGGTCACTAAATAAATGGTTGTAAGTTGAGGACTATCTGTACCTCTGGAAGTAAAATCAATTCATTGTTCACCCTATGTAATTTAGGAATTTGCCAGTATTTTTAAAGATCAAAGAGCTCCCAAATACTCTTAAAAAGATAACAAATAGTTTATAGGTTCTCCTTTGTAGCTACACTGCAGGAGAAGACTTGTGACAGTCTATGATAGCCAAAATTCATAGAAGTTTTTATTAAATTGAACTGAAATGAACTGAAAAGGTGCTACCAGCCTCTTCCTGATTCTTTGTGGCTTCAGCCCTTCTCAGCACCATCAGCCATCCTTCTAGACAGACTACTCCATAAAATATCCTACGTATTTCAGTCTCTCTCTCTCTTGTCCTTTACCCACAGAGATAATGAAGTAAATGTAGGGCAGAATCTGGATAATGAAGGCCACAAAAGTCTGCTCAAAATTTGGCTGCAGGTATTTAAAAGAATAATGATTGATTTTACTCACAAGCATTTTACATGTATGACGTCTGACTAATCCTTACAACTTCCCTCTCTTGGCAAGATGAAGGATAAGTTGTCCTCTCTCAACTGCAATGCATGTTAACGTTCAAGCATTCCCATTTCCATCTTTCATGCAAATCGAACAAAGACCAGAGCTGTCCCTTTTAGCCTTTTCTTTATCCTATTTGAAGACAACCCCATCCTGATCTTTGAATAAAGGCCAAAAAGCATATATACCTGGCATGCTTCCAACACTGGGTGAGTCCATTAAAGTTTGTTTTAAGCCCTGACTTTGAGAAGAATTTAGTTCAAATTTATTTTATTTTTATCTGTAATCAGCATCAGGTAATATTTAAAACTACTTTGGACTATGAATGCATCCAAAGATATATAGACGCTGTCTGTCTGTCTATCTAGTCCTTAGAAGGGCTTGGTTAAAACCAAGAATTCTTTCTGAGAAAAAGAGAAGCATTTCCTGCCATGTTGGACATGGACAACTTTTTGAAAATTCCAGTGCGGCACTCAAGCAACATAGCTGTGATTCTAAGGGAGGGCTGCATGTGTAGATGACCAATAAACCAATATGTGTAGATGATCAATAAACCACACAAACATTATTTGGCAACATAGACTGAGGCATTTTGCACCTTGCCACTAAAACCAAAGTGCCCAGAAGATGTAACCTTGATTTGTATCCATGGCAGCACTGTCTTGAACAAACAGCAGCCATATCCTTTGATCAAGAAAAAATAGAAGGGAACAATGTACGAAGCTTAAATATCTCCCCTGTCCCCATCACCCTGCTAGCTAGGGCCCAAACACAATGGAACTGTTACCTCTTCTCTTATAAAGCATAGACAACCAATTCACTTTATGAATTCCAGTTTCATGTTTGTACAGTAGATATAATGCAAATGTTTCTCATTATCACATTGGCTCTATCTTGAGCTAGCAATGGTTATTATTCCAGTGATGACTTTTTCTCTTAAAACTTTTTTCACTCCCCTCACCCCCTAAACTTGCCTCCTCATCAACCTGAGAAGCAGCACTCTCATTCTTTCCTCTCTGCAATTGGAAGACCCCTTTTTCATTACTGATACGTAACATTGCTAAGGAGCAACAGCATGCCGGTTACAACTTGGGTAAGTGCAGTCAGAGAGGACCTGCCTGGGCAGGATGGATTCTCTATCCCATTCCAGCAGACTGTTCACAACCCAGGGAGGCGGGGAGAAAGCAGTCATAGTAGCAGCTAAGTGGAAAAACTGGCTGAGCTGTGGAAGAGGAACAGGGAAGGGAAAATCCTAGGTTGGAAAAAATTATCAGCTCTTCTTCTGGTCCCAAGGGCAGGGAGGCAAATTAGACCAAGGAACATGGAGCTTTAGTAGTTGCCCAGGAACTTCCAAGAGTTGTAAGTTAGCCTCTAGAAGGAGGCAATGCTGTAAAACATTCTAAAAGGAAGCATCTTGGGAAGTTACCATTATGGGTGTATCATCCATACACCTCTTCTTTGCATGAGAATAATACAATTATTAGAACAACGACTGTATATCAGATAAAACTTTTCTAGTTTTCTAGCATTTTGACTATGATCTATGAGAAGCTCACCAACAGAACAGGAAGGGGAGAATCTCTTTCCACTCCAATTTTGCAGTTTCAGAGGCACACTTCCTTTGATTTTACAGAGAATAGATGGCGCAGTGGTTAGAATGCAATATTGCAGGCTTACTCTGTCCAAAGCCAGGAGTTCAATTCCTAACCGGCTCAAGGATGACTTCCATCCTTCTTAGGTCAGTAAAATGAGAACCCAGATTGTTGGGGGCAATACCCTGGCATTGTAAACTGCTCAGAGTATGCTGTAAAGCAGGGGTCTCCAACCTTGGCAACTTTAAGACTTGTGGACTTCAACTCCCAGAATTCCTCAGCCAGCAAAGCTGGCTGAGGAATCCTGGGAGTTGAAGTCCACAAGTCTTAAAGTTGCCAAGGTTGGAGACCCCTGCTGTAAAGCATTATAGAGTGGCATATCAGTCTAAGTGCTATTGCTGTTGCTATCCTGGCTAGTAGTGACTGGAAATCTTACCCTCTAGAATTTTGTTTAAACTTCTTTTGTGGTCATTGCTACATCTGGTGAAATTCCATAAGTTCTTGTGTGCTTCAGAGGTACTTTTTCATTTGTCTTGAATGCAACACAATTCACCTTTACATGATGATCCTGGTTCTAATATTGTAACACAGACATATATAGGCCTTTTCATCAGATTAGTTTCCTTCCTTCTTTCTGTCATGCCCTCCCTACTTGTTTTTCTTTTAAAAAAATATATGTTCCAAAGCCTCTCAGTAACCCTTTTTCATAGGTTATTCTTTTTTTCCACTTTTCCCATTTACAGATGACATTTTTGGAAAGTTTGAACAGAAATATTTTTCTATCACCAGAGGGAAACTCCCTGAGACAAAAACAAGCAACGTGTATCTCCAGTCCATTGGCTGTCCAAGTTTTTTTTTTTAATACACTTGTCTTGTAACAGGTGATGAAAGTGAGGGAGGAGCAGAAACTACTTTAAATTACTTTTCAAAGTGTTGTCCTGAATTTTAATATTTATTAGCAAGGCAGTACAGGAAGTCCTCGACTTACAACCACAAGTGAGCCCAATGTTTCTCTTGCTAAATGAGACAGTTATTAAGTGAATTTTGCCCCATGTTACGACTTTTCTTGCCACAGTTGTTAAGGGAGTCACTGCAGTTATTAAGTTAGTAATCTGGTTGTTAAGTGAATCTGGCTTCCCCAGTGACTTAGCTTGTCAGAAGGTCACAAAAGGTGATCACATGATCCTTGCAAAAGGTGATCACACATGACTATCATAAATATGAATCAGTAGCCAAGCATCTGGATTTTGATCATGTACCCATGGGGGACACATAAGGGTGAATAAAACGGTCATAAGTCACTTTTCAGTGGCGTTGCAACATTGAACAGTCATTAAATGAATGGTTATAAGTCAAGGTCCACCTGAACTGAAATAATAATGGCTTTCTTTTAAGAGCTTGAAACTCTGAAGACAACTTTGTATGACTTTTTAAAGAAATTTAAAAAATTACTATCTCTCAGAAGGATTTTTTTTTTTTAAAGAAAGAGGCTTTGGGGTGGAAGGTCAATGCATTTGGGGATTAATGAAATTCAACTCATATGGTGATGATGCAGAGACAGTGTAATTCTCAGAATTTCATCCAGGATAGTCCTCAGTTGCTGGGAATCCTGGGACTTCCATTCTCAAATCCATCAGGAGCAGATGAGACCAAACAGGATGACTCTTCTAGCTAAGAAATCCCCTTCTATGTATTGAAATCCAATGGGTCTTATTCATATATATTCATAACATATATTCCAATTGATGAACATTTCATTAAGGACATAATCCTTGTGGACAAGTAGTTATGTGCTCTGGTACCCTAGAAACTGTTCCCAAGCCTTGCAGGAAATTAAGAAGCAGTGGAAGGGTAAAATGTCAAATACGTTTGCTGTCAATGGAACAAAAAGGGATAAGGGGATCTGATGCATTAAAAGCCAGGGGAGCCAGATAATGTACCCCAACCATGTCACGAGTAACTTCCCACATCTTTTATTTGTAAAAGGACATGTTTTCCAACCTAGAAATTGGAAAATCCTCCAAGTCCACCTCAAGGTTTGCCCCTTTGGGTACTTACCCACACATCTTCCTTTGACCTCTTCAAAACCAATGATGCATATACACCTGCCCACTGGCACCAACCACTCCCCACTGGGACTGCAGTGCATCTTCGGTGGAACACCTGTCTCCTCCGTTGCATTCTTCAGACAGACACCAGGCACTACTGTTAGACCCTCAGCACCTGAAAGTGTCTCTGGGAAATGGGCCAATCCACTAATGGTATCTGAACAGGTTTTATAATAAACTCTCACTGAAACCAAGGCCACGCAAGCTCCTGAGTTCTGGAAAGCCAGATAAAAACCACGCTGCTGTAGCTTCCCAATGGAGCATACTTCCATGTTCAATTTCAGCGAGCCGACCTCAACATCTCGAGCTGTGAAAATGTTGTCGCCTGCCACAGTGTTGATCTGGAAAGCAAAAGGGTTTAAGTCAGTTGAGCAACTTTTTGAAGCCAAACACAATCCCTTTCTGAAATGTAGCAGTTCCATCATAAATAAATTAAGTATATTTGCAGGGAAAATAAGCATGTGGGAGAGAGAAGTTTAATTTAGCTTTGTCTCTAAAATTCAGATTATTTTTTTAAATACATAAATATTTTCTTTCTTTATAAATCCTAATTCATGTATGCAACCTATCCCTACTTAACTTTTAGATCAATTCAGGACATAATTTGAATTTGCTAAATAGTTTAGCAGAAATCAGATATAAATTGGTTGTTGGAACAAAATATTCAGCAGTAAAACAGACATTCAAAAACAGCTATATCAACATTTTCTTAGCTATTTGGAAAACAAGTAATTTGGCACAACATATCCATCATGATAGCCTAGGCTGAGCTAGGGTATAAAACCAAGTATAGTGTATTCAACAATAAAGCTCTGACTAATAGAAAAATGTAAATTTAATCCCTTAAGACTACAGCACATTAAAAGGTTGCACAACAGTATTGAAATAGAATTAATCACTTGACACAGAAAGCAGACATAATAAGAGAAAGCTCAGAACCAATTTAGGTTTACATATAATCCAAGCAGTTTGCATTAGTTATAGGAACTCTTTCTTGCAATACCAAAAGAAACTAGAAATAAAAAAAAAACATTCAGCCATTCTCTTTTTGTTTTGATTATGGCATAGAGCTCTTTAGTAATCAGAAATATATACCAAAGAAAATTGATTTGAAAAATATACATCAGAGAATAAAATGGATTGAACTGAATAAATACACCAATGTAGAATGTCACTAATAAGCAGAGAATAGATACGGGCTACATGATACTGTGTCATGTGAAGAAATCAAGAAAGGACATCAATGAAAACTGCTTGTCAGCCTTGGCCGGCATGTTCTGACAAGTACTTTTATTTAAATGATGGAAAGATTTAGAAGAAAATATCAGTAAGATACCTCCAGTGGAGTTATTTGACCATACTTGTTATACCTGGGCTTTATTGGACAAAATCCAGAGGCCATGCTGCCCAGCATTTACCTGCAACAAGGGTTAGAATTCACCTATGCTCTACCTCAAGAATACTGTACCTCAAGAACGAGCATTCAGGAAAACACTGGTTATAAACATAGACACTCCCTTTCGAGAAGTGACTAATAGCTCTTGAGAATTCTTAACATTTAATCCCATGAAAACAAGTAAAATTAAACACAGGGCTACTGTTTTGACAGGGGGTTTGTCTGGGCAGGAGCCTAATGCTCTGACAATGTACTAATACCCATTAGCCGCTCAGAGGGTGTGAGCATACCCATTTCTGAAAAGCTGATGAAGAGTAGGAAAGTGAAAGACAGCTGTGGGAGCTCTTGTGCTCTTGTTTCCTTTTTTAGTTGGTTGGTTTGGAAAAAACCCAGCTGAACAGACAAGTAAGCAAAAGTGCAGGGAGTTTCTAGTACTTTTCCCATCTAAAAGTAATTCAGTATTCAAGTCTATATCTAGTGATGCTTTCGAGATGTTATTGTTCTTTTATGTGTGGAAGTTAAATAATAACGACATAATATCAATATCAATTCAATAGCCCCTGGAAAGTGGCTTCTGCAGATATTTCTGAGCCACGCTTTGAAAAGCAGTAGATCAAGACAAAAATATGAATTATTGATTACACTCACTTGAATTAAAATTAAATGTTGTTAAGATGGTTTTTATTTACTTGTTTATTAAACTTATACACTGCCCATCTTGCCTAGAGGTGATTCTAGGCTAGACATCTTACAACCAATAAAAACATTAAAACATTAAACTAATACATATTAATACTCAGATTGACTTAAAAATGAACAAAGATGGCAGGGAAGGAGAATAAATGATTATTCTCCGCTCAGAATGCCTGTCCCATTAACACATAAAATTTAAGAGCTGGTTTTTACAGGCCCTGGAGTGGGGTGTGGCCTCAGGTTGTGTATCTAATACATTAGATTAATAAAAACATTAATACAATGAAACTAAAATTCACTGCTTCAATGATGCAGAAAGTCACACAACATCTTCAATAGGGCATATGGGTGAGAATGTCTGAGTAGGTTTGTACTCTGAATTAGTACATTATTTTGAAACATTACATTAAAATGCTAAGCAATTTTATGAAAGGCTGCAGCCAAATTTGGATTCCTGCGTGCTTTGTTCAGTTTGAGAATTCATCACATGCTGGCATTCTGTCAATCATGTGTATAGTAGAGTAACCCCCTATGATTACAGCTAATCATATTATACCCCAATACAAAGATGCATGAACTCTATTTGAAAGACTGAACATAATGCCAGGGGTCACTCAAAATGTCATCATATCCAAACACGCAGAAGCCAAAAATATTAAAATTGTTTTCAAATGGAGATGGTTACTGTATGGCAGAGTTGGCAGAAGGGATACATCAAGGACATCTGCTGCTTCTAATGCAGAGAGAAATGATCATGTGAATATTTTTAAATAATTGCTTTCATCTCTCTTTGGTTGGTTTTTGAATAGGTCGGTGGAGGTAGAAGTGATTCTTGGCTCTCGGCGACCACATCCAAAGTCTGAAAGAATCTCATAGTTTAAGAAATACTAGAGAATCAGTAATCACAATTATATTTAGAGAAATCCTTACATGTATTTTTTATGTCTAAGAAATCTTACTATTGATGAAGGGATACAAATTATATACATATAACTCTCAGTACATATTTGAGTAAATATCACTTTTGTAGATAATCTACCTGCCCAAGTTTTGATTCTCAGGATATAAAGCAACGGCAAGATCCCGCCCACTAGGGAGTATTTCTCAATCTTGTCAACTTCAAGATGGATGGACTTTGACACTCACAATTCCCCATGCTGGCTGGGGAATTCTGGGAGTTGAAGTCCACCCATTTTAAAATTGTCAAGATTAAGAAATCTGCACAGTACGTACCTAAAACTATTTTTAATGCAGGGTTAAGAATGACTAAATAATTTGTCAGTTAAAAGTTCAATTAAAAATTAAAAAAACAATTGAATTTAACTTAACTTTCTAATTGTATTTGTTGAGTTATTTTGAAGGTAATTTATTTATTTAAATTGTAATGTATCAAACTACAGAAGCAAATTAGCAATTTATATAAAAACATGTAAGTATAAGCATTTTAAATCATTTCCAACAAAAATAAAACAACAGAAAAAATAAAATGAATTCTTAAATATTATTTTTTGTGGATCTAATTTTTAACTTAACTACTTTAGAAAGGAAAGTTACCTATCCAGGAATGATTCTGTGGCTTTCTGATGTTTTTTTTTCCATCAAAAGTTCAATTTTTGGTGTGATGCTCGTAAGTTTAAAATTAATTTCCCCCTTGATGATATATCAATAGTTTTTCTTTCCTTTGTTAATGTATTATTTACTGAACTAAAATTACTTTCAATAATATAAGATGTTGAAAAACAAACATCATCCATCAGCCAATAAAAACATCAGCCAATAAAAACACACAGGCCATCTCTTGCATTATGATTTTGAGGCTGAGCAATCAACTGAAAGGAGTCCTCTAATTGCAGTACATTTATTTGTCATAGTATTGATCTTGCATTCATTTTATGCAACTTCAGTGTCATTGCCATTTACGTGATTCTCAATAAAGCCCAACAAGAGAAATTAAATTCTAATACTAATAAGATTTTGTAAGGTAAAGGTTAAGCCTAAATTATCTATAACCCATTTTCAATAAACAAAATACATTGTTACGTTGACATATTTGTTTGAAATCATGACCTTTCCCTCTGCAATAATTAGGGAGTTAGTCCATAATCTTGCTCTCTATGGGAAGCAGAGCTACATATAAAAATGAAGCTAACTGTGAATCTTTCTGGACTTATGATGTCACTTCCACTTCTGCCGAATGACCATAGTCATTAATTTTCAATTTTCCATGTTTTCCATTAATTCTTCTTGTTGGAAGCCAGTTGCAAACTTCCCAAATGGCAATTATATGACCAGAGGACACTGTAGTACTCAGAAATGTAAAGACTGGTCATAAAGCTGATTTTTTAAAACTGTTGTAAGTGTTGCAACTTCTAATGGTTGCTAAACAAGGCAATCAGTAAGTAGAGACTACGTACTGAATGTAACTTCTAGAGCAAAACACTTTTATTTAGGGTAAAACTTCTTTTATCTACAAAGATAAATTGATTAGAATTACCTCATGATACTATTTTATAAAAGACATTTTTGGTTTTGTAAAAAATCTCTGAAAATCTTCGACCATGGCAAAATTACAGGCCATGATCCTTCCAATTTATAGCACCTCAGCTTCTAAACCAAGTTACTGTTCACATCAGCTACATTCTCCCTGACTTAAAATTATCTGCATCTAACTCACTATGTCTGAAGAACAAACCAGTGCGTGTATCTATGATTGCAAACAGGTTGTTACAAGTTTCTGATCCTTCTGCCATTTTTAAAAATTTCTGAATACTTTTGTATTCTGAATGAATATAAGAACCACTCTCTCAGCATAGGAGATCACAGCTCCAAGTGCTCCTACCACCACTGGGAACCCTTTGACCTTAACTTTCCACATCCCCTCTAGTTCCTCATTCAGGCCCTGACATTTTCTTTCCTTCTTAAGCCTGGTTGTTACCAATGTAGACTACTGCGTTCACCTTGTTTGTGATATCCTTATTTCTTCTTCCTCTGTGTTGACATTCTGGACTTTTCTTCTCCTGCTTATGAAATTGTACACAGAAGATTCTATATAAAAGAATAATGATCATAAACCTTTCTGCAGTACTTGCCTTTCAATGGGGTGTGTGTGTGTGTGTGTGTCTTCCTGGGCTCACAGGTCCTGCTTGATGAGCAGGTGGCAACTGTGACCAGGAAGGCCTTTGCACAACTGTATGTGCCCTTTCCTAGAGTGGAAAGCCCTTCAAACAGTCACTCACGTCTGGTCTCTTTATGGCTGTAACGTGCTGTACTTGGATCTGCCCCTGAAGACAACTTGGAAACTTGTTCCAGAATCCACTGATGGGTGTGCCCTTAGTATGTGCATGTAACACCCCTGCTTCACAAACTGCACTAGTTGCCAGTTTGCTTCTGGGTGCAATTCAAGACGCTGGTTGCTATTTATAAAGCCCTACATGGCGCAGCGCCTAATTACTTGAAGGAGCATCTATTTCTCATAGTATCTGCCTGGCTGATTTGATCCAATGAGTTGGCATGCTACAGCCTCCGATTAAATGGGGCTATTTTTTGGAATAACTGGGAGCACATTTTCTTGTAGTGGCATCTGTCCTCTGGAATAAAGTTTACCCTGAGATCTGGTGACTTCCATCCTCCTGGTGTTTCACAGGGCCTTCAAATCCTGGCCATTCACCTAGGCCTTTGGCGGGAGTGCTTAAAGCCTTATCTGACTAGTTTTCCTCCTTTATCTTTATTGTTATATGTCAGGGTTCCAAGTAATAACTCCATAGAAAGCAGAACTCTGAGGCAAGCAGGTTCCTCAAAGAACAGTTTTACTGGAGATACCATATTGGCACCAACTGGTGAAAGTTCCTGCAGTTTTCACCTGATTAAAAAATTACAGTTCCCCCTTTCCCCAAACTATCAGTCACATTGTCCAATTGAGGTGCTGGCTAGTTGCTTGGTAACTGGTTCGCTTCAGAGTTGACATTACATGGATTATCTTTGTAAACTGTCCCTAGTCACTGGGAATCAGGCTGCGTACACATGAAATAAATAAACAAACAAATAAAGCTTACTTTAGTGAAGAGAGGACGGTGGAACTGGATGCCAACATCTTGCTCTGATTCCATGTAGTAGAGGTTGAATGTCTCCTTGCAGCTCACCATTTCTCCTCTGAAACTCTTGCAGTCTCGAATGGTGAATTGCAGTTCCACGAAGATGCGAGAAGGGGCCCCCCCTCGGAAGATCCAGTTTGTGCGGAGCCAGTGGTCAGTGTCTCCTTCAGAGAGGACGCTGCAATCCTGGTACATATATACAGGAGTCCCATTGATCATTTGCTGCCCCTCGCTCCACTGCATATCAGAAGGAGAGAAGATTGAAGACATTGGACTGAGGTTCTCAAGGAAGCATTGCAAGGTTGTTGTTGGCATGATAATGGGAATAATAATAAAACCTATCTCAGGGGGGATAAATAGGGGGATAAAAATGCCAAAGCCAGTCTAAACATCTGGCTCGCTGTGTGACTAACCTTCATCATAAATTGATATCCCATCCTTAGCCCACAGGGCAGATGGGTGGGTGGATAGCTGTAGATGCTTTAAAAAAACCCAAATATGCATATGCTGCCACTCATGGGGAAAAAAACCCTTTTCTAGTGTTTGTTCTCACCTGCTTGTTATCTGGACCTGCCTACCTTCTCTTGCTTTCTTTTTCTATGTCTCATCAAAATTTAGGCTGTAAATCGGTCATGTGCCTTTTTGCTCATGCTCATATTATATTTTTATTTCAACGACACATTACACAGCAGATCAGATTTCTCTTTTGTTTGCTTTTCTTTAAAGCAGCTGCAACAAAGGGCACCTATCTGTTTGATCGGCAAATGACTCTGGGGTGGGCCTGTTCAACCTTGTTCTGCCATTTTCTTGACCTAAAATGCCCTCCTGAAGTGACAGGGACATGGTTATTTCAATGTGCACACTGTGCTTTTGCTCCTTGCTATCCCATGAAGGACCAATCCTGTCTCCAATCTTCGCAGAGGCACCACTAAATTTTTTCCCAGTTCTTAACGCTATTATTTACTCAATTTATATTCCATTTTCAAGTTGGCATACTGTACAGAGTGCTCTGTTCTCCCTCTTTCCCCCACAAGAACCCTGTCAAATAGGTTAGGCTGAGAGAGAAAGTGACTGGTTGATGTCCCCTAGTCAATTTCCATTGCTGAGGATAGACTAGATCTGAGGCCCCATTTGTTATTTATTTATTTTATTTTATTTTTATTTATTTATTTTGATTTGTCAATCGCTTACAAGATAATAGGTGTAAGTATATACATAGTTATGAATACATGAAATGGGTACATATAAGAAAAATAAAAGAAACAATAGGACAGGGACGGTAGGCACATTGGTGCGCTTATGCACCACCCCCCATAGACTTCTTAGGAAAGGAGTGAGGTCAATAGTAGAAAGTCTAAGGTAAAAGTTTTGGGGGTTTAGGGAAGAAACCACAGAGTCAGGAAGAGTATTCCAGACATTGACCACTCTGTTGCTGAAGTCGTATTTCCTGCAATCAAGTTTGGTGCGGTTAACCTTGAGTTTGTATCTATTATGTGCTCTTGTGTTGTTATGGTTGAAGCTGAAGTATTCATTGACAGGTAGGACATTGCAATGTATGATTTTATATACCATACTTAGATCAGACCGAAGACGGCGTAATTCAAGGTTTTCTAGGTCTACAATTTCAAGTCTGGTGGCATAAGGTATTCTATAACGAGCAGAGGAGTGGAAAACTCTTCTTGTGAAATATTTCTGGACTTTCTCAACTCTGCTAATACTTAGATCAGACCGAAGACGGCATAATTCAAGGTTTTCTAGGTCTAGGATTTCAAGTCCACTATATCACTCTGGCTCTCAAAGGGCCATCTGACAATTTAATAGGGCTGAAGTTAATCTGAATCACTTTTCAAAAGTCAATTGCAGAACATGGAGAAGCATCTCTCCAGTGCATGCCTACTCAAAGGTTAGCAAGGGCAGAGCTGAAAAAGCAGCTATTCTGCATGCCTATTCCGAAGGTAGTTTCGCCAGTTTCAGGACAATTTGTTCTCAGGGATAAGACTGCAGTCACCTTACAGAGAATTAAAGCATGAATTTGCCCCTTGAGTAACCTAGCAGGCTCCTCCAACCTCCAACTTTATGCAAAATCATTTATGATACAATTCCTCCCCCCTGCCCAGAAATGTGCATAAATTGTTATCCAGTCTGTCAGCAAAACCCATTCCTTATTAGCACTGATGGTGTTTCCTAGTTTGGGTAATGACATGTCTGTAAGAAAACAACCAAGCTCAGAGAGCACCAAGGACTCCTCAAATTGTTATCTGCACTGTGCAATTAGATATCAACTTATTTAGATGGCAGTCCAAATGAGTTTTTAGTGAGGCTTATTCTCAGGGATCCCAGAGAATAATCACGTTGCAGCCTTGTTCAGTATAATTAAACAATACATAAACAGAATTTGACAGCACAGATTGTTTCTGTACCTTTGCAGCAGTTTCTGGTGCTGCACGAGATAGAGGAAGGAAAAACACACGTAATGTTTATCTCATGCTGTAGGCTTTAGAATTTTCTTCCAAAGAAGGCTAAACTCATTGACAAATTTATTTACAGTACTTTGCTTCTAGACGCAGATTAAGTGAATTTCTGCAGTCTTGGAATGGCCAAGGTATGGCCAAGCTTTAGAAGGGAAACAGAAGCAATGCTTTCCTTTGGGGACCAGGTTTGCTTATTGGGTTTGCTCATTAGAAATTTGTCCTAATAAGGACAGTGACCTGGGGCTGAAGCAATGTCTCAAAATAAAATGTTGTTATAATTATTCAACTTTTAATGGATCTCCAAACAGACTACAAATCCTATCCTTTCATCTTGCCTTCTTCAGTCCTCTTCTTTTTGATTTCTCTGATGCCTGTCTGCAATGCAGAAATTCTATATTTTTGACTTTCAGGATCCTGCTTAAACTGATTTTTGCTGGTTCTCTAGCCGTACCTAGGCAAGTCCGAGTTCCATAAAATGAAGTGATAGCGACAACTGCAGTCAAAAGTGCTCCCTCAGTGTATACAGTGCTTTTAATTTGAGGACATTGCATGCACACGCACAGCAGATATATGTATGCACATTTATCTTTTATGTACACTGAGAGCATTTACACCAAGACAAATTCTTTGTATGTCCAATCACACTTGGCCAATAAAGTATTCTATTCTATTCTGTTTTATTCTGTTCTATTCTATATCTACCTTTAACAGCTCTTCTATAGACCCAGATATAACATGGCTTTTGGAAGGATATTCCATAGACAACACTATTCATAAAGCAAAAAGTCCATAAAAAGTTTCCAGTCTTCTACAAAAATAGTTTTTTCTCCCTCTCTAATCAAACAAGTCAATTTAGCCCTATATTGAAGCTACACCACTTTACATGACACGCTGTAGTTTTTATGTAAATGCATGTCAGAGAGAAATAGGCTTAAACTTTGCTTTCTAGCACATCCAGTTTTTACGGAGATTATTGTTTTACTGTATTACTGTGAGGCCCCTTGCAGATTCAGATTTGAATTGTATCTTTAGTAAGCCCTAAAATGCAGTTGGATATTATGATCATAAGAGAGAAAATATCATGTGGAACATCTATCTGCATAGGAATTCTAAATAATTATTCTATGGATAGCATCAAACAAAACTATTTCACCTGAAATGCTTCTGTACCACCTGGAAATATGACCCTGGGAGAATCTACAGGAGCAAAATCTTTTTTTCCCCATACCTCACATGCTAGTTTGGCCAGGCTTCAAAAGTTATTTGAAAATATTGCTTTGGACCTTGAAAAAGGGTGATTGCTCACTGCTGCTTGTTAAAACAGACCATCATTTAACTGGCATTTTCATGAGCTTTCCAAATCAGTTTCAAAGGGGGAATTAGCCATACTCTATATCAGAGATTTCCAAACTTGGCAACTTTAAGACTTTAAGACTATGCTGGCTGGAGAATTCTGGGAGCTGAAGTCCACAAGTCTTAAAATTGCCAAGTTTGAGGATCTCTGCTCTATACGTTCTGTGGCCATTTGAGCTAAGCTAAACTCTTGTCAACAGCGTGCAAAATAATATATCTTCCCCTTCTGATACACAGGATTGCTAATCATTCAGCCTGCTCTGTGGGAATCAGTAAGCTCAAAATAACCAGTTTCCCCTTAACCTAGTCAATCACAACTTCCTGAACAAAGTTCAGAAAACATAAGTTCATATCAGGATATGCAAAAGAGTATGTGCTATGTCTGTGTGTCTGGAAATGTGAGGATATACATCATGTAAATGAGTGAGATGCAGCAACAAGAAAATCATTCTTAAATATTAAATATACATCATACAAAGTAAGTAGAATGTACAAATACAAAAAATGTGCAATATACTCTTAAATATACAAAGCAGTTATTTGCCCTGCCGAGAGCAATAGCATTGCTGAATAAATAAAAAAAGGCAAATAAATACACACACACAAACAATTGTCTTTATCTTATCACTTGTTAGTGTATCTGGGTATCAAAGGAACATGCTGATTAATATTTAAAGTACAGTGTTATTAAATCAATGGAATAAGGTTAATTTAGTACTATAATTCTTTCTTGGGGAGGAGTGGCATAGACTGGTTGTTATTGCTAATGGCAGCTGCCCCTGTGGGAGAAAAATGTTCTTTAAATGCCACTGTAGGAGGAAAAGGCACTGTAATAATATTACAACAGATTTATTTCCTGGGTACTAATTTATGAAAATTGGCTTCTATTGGAGACAGACAAGGGTAGTTTAAAAAAAAATCAAATTAGAATTTTAGGCCATTATCCTTGACAGAATGAGGAAACAGGATTCTGGGGCTTATCTTCAAGGCATCTTAGTAATTGTAGGTAAAGATATTTATGTTAAACACCACTTCTTCTTGTGCCATATCTATCATCGACATTGGCAATCATGTTGGCGATCCTATTTTTATCAATAGTTGCACCAAAAAGTGCTGTTGAATTTTGTCCAAACCCGTCCCTTAGATTTTGAAGCCATGATATTCTTCTTCTGCCTGGACCTTCTGTGCCTTCAATCTTTCACTGGAGAATTAAGTGAAGTATGCCATATTTTTCTGAATATCACATCACGTGTCCAAAATACTATAACTTTTGCTTTTTTATGGTTCTGATGGTTTTTCTTGTCTTTCCCAGATCGCTTATCACCTCCTCATTTCTGATTTTGTCAACCCAACTTATATGTAACAGCCGCCTGTAAATCCACATTTCAAATGCTTCTAGTCTCTTCAGGTGGC